CTGGCGGGCGCCGCTGCAGCCCCTGGGGCCGCCGCTGCCGCGCCGGCCGCCGCGGGGGCCGCGCCCGCCGCCGTGGGCGCCGCCGCTGGGCCCCCAGCGCCCGCCGTGCTGCCGCCCGCTCCGCTGGCCGCCCCCGTCGCTGGCGTGCTTATGGCGGCGGGAGCTCCGCCTTCGGTGGGGGCGCCGCCTGGGCCGGGGTGGAAAGATGACGGGGGCCCCCCTCTCGGGGCCAACGAGGAGGCGCTCGCTGGCTGGGCCTGGGTGTTCGCCGAAGACGTCGACTCTTTCCCCTTCGGCTCGGTGGTGCAGGTCGGGCCGATCACGGGCGTCGTGCTGGCGTCGCGGGCCGCAGGCGCGGGATCATCGCGCTCGGCGGGGGACTCGGCGGTGGCCTTCGTTCTCGAGAACTGGCGTCGGGTCGGCTTCTTCGCGAAGTGGCGGGGTGCAGACCCACGCGCCCTGGCGCGCGCGCCTGGCCGCGGCGGTCCGCGCAGCTGGCTCTCCGTGGCGGAGGTGGCGAAGGAGGTGCCTGACCCGCAGTTTAGTCTCGTGCCGCGCTCGGCCGCTTGGCGCGTCATGTGGTTGCTGCGCGAGGGCGGACCTATCCAGCACCGCGAGAGCTGGAAGCGCGCGAGAGGCTCTGCACGTAGGGCTACGGCGTCGCCGAGCACCACGCCTTCAGCACGGTGCTGGAGGACCTCGCGACCGTGGGCGAGGTTAACGTGGCGAACCTTGTCGGGGTCGAGCGCCCGGTCAGGAAGATGAGCTCATCGAGCATGTCTGGGGGGAGTGGCAGAAGGATCGGGATTCCGTCTATCGCGATATTTCGAGCAAGATCTTGTCAAAGGCCGAGAATTTGCAGCAGGAGCAGGATGTTGGCTCCACGAAGCCCCATATCAGCTTTGGTGGTTCGTCTGCGCGACGCCGGAGTCATCGACCTCCTCGGCGGCCCCAGTGAGGTGATCGACGACGTGGGCCCTTGCAGCGTGCCCGGGAAGAGTGGGCGGCATTGGCTCATCGTCGACGCCCGGCCGGCCAACAACTTCTGGTTCGGCGCGCCCGCCGACGTCAACCTGGCCGCGGG